AATGTACGACGATGGCATCGCGAGACACATTATCTCATGCCAACTAGAAAAATTTTAAACTAAGGAAAAAACAATAAAAAGATATGAACTTCACTGCTTTAGGAAAAAAAAATCTTTCCTCTGGTGCGCATAAGCATTTGTGACTGTGTTCTCTGCCTGTTTTCCATGTGTCACACCAGCTTGTTAAGGCAGAGGCTGCTCAGTGATGAAGGTAAACCTCTGTTCTGCATTAGTTTCCATAGTTTGGGTTTAGAGTCTCCTGGGATGTATTCTGTTTGTTTTGGATGGTGCTGGAGATGGAACCTGGGGCTAGGCAAATGCTCTACCACTGAGCAGCATCCTGAACAGTCCCCCAGGCCTTTTACCTCCTTCATGGGCCCCAATATATTTTTTTAACTTTTTAAAAAATTTTTATTTATTTTTATTTTATGTGTATGCGTGTATTGCCTGCATGTAGGTAAGTGCAACCGTGTTGTGCAATGCCCGCGGAGGTCAGAAGAGGCTGTTGGATCCCCTGGAACTGGAGTTATGGACAGTTGTTAGCTGCCATGTGGGTGCTAGGATTTGAACCCGGGTCTTCTGTAAGAACAACCAGTGTTCTTAATCACTGAGCCATCTCTCTAGCCCCTCTACATTCTTTTAAAACTATTATCTGTGCTTGTGGAGACCCAGTTGAGAACTCTGCTTTCCCAGGGTGTTCGGGAACTAGCTACAGGTCCTGAGCACTGGGCGAGGGCTGGTTCAGGCTTAGTGAGAGAGGAATCTTCCTGCCTTCAAACCTTGGTGACTCAGAAGCGTGGGTCTTCCAGCACGGGCCGTTTGAACAGATGTGCCTGCAGTAGAGTGGCTTTACCTGACAGATGGAACACAGGACATTCTGACTACTGCTGGCATCTGGCTGTGCTAAGCATTACCTATACCACCACATCATTTTAATCACACAAGCCTAGAGTAAGCCTTGATTCCCCAATTGAAGAAATGGTCCTAGAGTGGCTGTCAACTGCCTGAGACCATTCAGAGCTGGTGAGTGGCTGATCTGTGTCCAGATCATTAACTAGGCCTGTTGTGAGGTGAATCCTCCTGGGCAGTTCCCCTGCAGTGGTGTGAGGCCATTGCTGTCCAATAGAGCCAGTTTCTGCAGGTGGCAAAGGCCTGGCCTCTCCATCTTCCAGTCAGCCCTCTCTGCAGTGGGTGCTTCTGGTTACTTCCATCCACCCTGCATAACTTCTTTGTTTCTATGTGATTGTGGGAGAGGAAGCTCCAGAGAGTTTACGCCCTACCTGTAGATTAGCAGTCTGAACTTTTGCACAATGAAGGCCAGAGGCTCAGGTGACCCTCTTGTTGTTGTCAGGTTTTTTATTTCAGGTCTGAGGTCTGGGTCAGATGATCTTGTAAGTGACTAAATTTCTGATAAGCAAACAGGGTCTCTGAGGAGTCATAAAGATGCATAGTTCTATCTTCTTCTTGGCCTGAGACAAAAGCCTGGGGGCTCCCCCTCTAGCCTGCAGGGTTCTCTTTCCTGGGTGCTCCCCCTCTAACCAGCAGTGTTATCTTTCCAGCTAACTAGTTCAAACCAGTACAGATAAGAGAGACGCCAGACCTGGACACCTCATTATTTGAAGCCATAAGCCTATTGACCTTCTCTTCTTTGTTTAAGCTGACCAATCCAAAATGAGAGGAGATAAACCACTAAAACCCTTAAAACCCAGGCCCTTAGGGAGGAGGGGGCTCTTTGGATTTGGGTTTCTGAATTCTCTTTGCCACTTGTGGAGAGCTTTATTTTTCTGTGTCAGTGTGTGTATGGATGTGTGATTCGATATCCTTCAATAAGAGTTTTTTGCTTCTTGCTTGCTGGTCTGAGATGTTTTCCCCCCTCCTTTTAACTCTTAAATTCGTGGAGAAAATGAACTCAGCCCTTAGATAGTGATCATCCAAGACCCCTAGACAATGTGGCTGGCTGCAACAACCTTGATCCACAGAATCTAAGCTGTACTGTACTTCTGTCAGTACACAATCTATGCCAAGCATTACTCTGCTGAGCTAAGACACTAATCATTGATTGCCAATGAGACTCATGTGGACAGGATTAGCCTGGTTTTTCCCTTCAGTTCGCCTGGCTCTCTATCAAGGCCCCAGCTGGGAAGCTCTAACATTTCGTTTGGCTGCAGCATAGCTCATATCTAGAAACTTCCAACCAAAAATGTTGTTTGATGCAGAGTTCAATATCACTCCATCCTGACCTCCACTTCCCAAAGGCTCTTTAGGAAGAAATTGAGAGTGAGGGTTGATGGAGAGCAGCCTCCTGTGCTGTGCTCGGCATCCTTTTCAGTCTATAAGACATGCAGTGTCTTCTTTCCTAGCTAGCCTTCTCCATGACCTCCATGGAGGTTGGTCAGCCCTGGTCAGCCCTGAGAGACTTGAGAAGAAGGTGAAAGAGATAAGGAACAGCCAGAGAGGAGGAGGGCAAAGAGGGCTAAGGGGACCTGGGGGCAGTTCTGTGCAACTCATGCAGTACTGACCCAGCCTTTAGTGCCCCAAGCTGGGGAGCTGGGAATTTGTGCCTACAGTATGCCCCCAACTCCCTGAAGCTGGGCCTCATTGAAGGTAGCCACGTGCAGTGCTGTGGTGGGTGTATTAATATACCAGCATTGTTACACCTGCCTTCTGTGGGTGGTACTCAGAGCCCCACCTTCTGCCCATGCAGGACCTGGGCATGAATGATCCTTTACCCTTAGTGTTCCCAACTCTCAGACCTGTTGCGACTTGGCTGCCACCACCCAGGCTTTGAGGTCAGCATTAAACTGTTGATAATAATCATCTGAATATGGTGACAACTAAAAAACTATCAGTTACTAGAGTCAACCACGGCTACTGTAAGACTCCTTATTTGTAAAAATACTACATTCATTTTTTTTTAAAAAAAGGTTGAATCTGGGCTAATAATGTGTTTTATTTCAAGTCAGAAAGCCCTGAACTCCTATTGCCTGAATATATAATATAGCACATTAAATATACAATGGTTAAAAGTCCAACAATCACTAGTTTATTTTTAAGATAAGAATCACAATTACTTGCTTGTTTGCTTGATTTTTGAGACAGGACCTCAGGTAGGCCAGGTTGCCCTCAAACTCACCATGTAGCTGAGGATGACCTTGAACTCCTGATCCTCCTGCCTCCATCTTTTGGGTGCTAGGATTACAGGCATATGCTACACTCCTGGTTTATGTGGTGCTGGGGATTGAACCCAGGGCCTTTTGTATACTAGGCAAGCACTCTACCAACTGAGCCACATCTGTAGACTCCATGGTTTTCATTGAAGGGTTTTTTGCCTTCTTTTTTTGTATGTATGTGTATGAGGTATAGTATGTATGCTGCATTTTTTTCCTGTGTGTGGGTGTTCATGCATGCATCGCATGTGCACATGCATGTGTCAGGTGTGTGTGCGTGTGTGTGTGTGTGTGTGTGTGTGTGTGTGTGTGAAGGCCAGAGGTTCATATCTGGAATCTTCCTTAATCACTATTCCATCTTATTCTTTGAGACAGAGACTCTCAATCAAACCTAGAGCTTACAGTATGACTCGTCTGGATAGCCGCATGCTCTGGGGAATCCCCTTCTGAGGTTAGACTTACAGGCCAGCCACCAAGCCCACCAAGCTTTTAAGTGGGTTCTAGGGATGTGAACTCTGGTCCTGTCACTTGCATGGAACCACTCCCCAGCCCTCATTGAAGGTTTTTCATCATGTTGTCTTGTTTTATTTGCACTTGTTACCAATGCTAAATGTGTTCATCAGCAGCCCATGTCTGTCCCTCATATCTGTTGTCATGGTGATCTGAAGTGGGGAAGCTCTGGGTCTACCTGCAATTTGTTTGTTTGTCTCAGATCTCCATGGAGATAAAGCAAAATATTTTATTTTCTTCCTTTGGGGCTGATGTCAGATGCATCCTGCTGCTTTTGCAGTTTTCTGGGAAACAGTCTTCTGTGCCTCAAAGCAAAGCCTCTTGGCTTAGAAAGTACCAGTCTTTGTGTGAGTGTTGGGGGAACAGAGTAATAGTATAGTACATAAAGTCACTCACTCTAAAAACCTCAGTTGGGGCTAGTAAACAGGTTCTACTAAGCATTCTGCAGTGCCAGCCCACCACTGGAGGTCAGACCTGCGTAGGAAACGGCACTGCTGTGATTCCTGGGTTCTGATGTGTCACCACTAGGTGGCATCATCCCAACCCTTTCTCTCTTTCTGCCCCTTTTCTAGGTTTTCTCTTTCCTTCTAACAATACTAGCTCTGCCCTGTCACCTTGAATGCAGCTTGAAAATGCCAACGAAGCATGGTTTAAGATTAGGTTGGTCAGCGCTTCTGATCATCTTGGTTTTGGTGCATAGCAAACATGCTGTGAGATGGCTCAGGGAGTAAAAGTGCTTGTAAAAGCCTAGTGACCTGAGTTTGATCCTTGGGGCCCACATGGTAGAAGGAGAGAACAACTCCACAGGGTTGTCCTCTGATCTACCCTGTGCCTAGGCAGTGGTGGAGGACCCGTGGTTGTGTGTGGTGTGGTGGTGCATACCTATAATGCCAGTACTCAAGAGATAGAGGCAGAAGGATCAGAAGTTCAAGGTCATTCTCCCTGACACTGGCTATATGAAACCCTGTCTAAAAAGAAAAGAAAAGGAGGGGAGGCAGAAAGTTGGGCTGGAAAGATGGCTCAGAAGTTAAGAGGCTTACTGTTCTTGCAAAGGACTATACTTCAGTTTCCAGCACACATGTTGCGGGGCTCACAACCACCTGTAACTCCAGCTCCAGGTGATCCGACACCCTCTTCTAGCTTCCATTGTCGACTGCACACACATGGCACACACATATAGTCATACACACATACACATAAATAAAAAATTTTTTAATCTTAGAAAAAGACAAAAAAGTATTAATGAGCCCAATTTTAAACAGGCAACTTTAAAAACAGGGAAATCAGTGGGAAGGGAAAACCTCACAGGTTACTGCAATTAAGATGTCTGCTGGTGACAGGCATGATGAAGATGTAGACTTCAAAGAGTACCATATCAGAAACGACTGGCAACCACTGCAGAGCTCTTACAATGCTGAGCATCAAGGTACCCAGGGAGGCAAGTGTGAGAGGGCTGAGTGATATTATTGTAGTAGTTAAAAATTAGCAAAAATCAGAAATAGCCCAAATTCCTCTGGCAAGAGAAACAATTATAATATACTCATCGGATTACTCTTTTTAAATTTTTAAAATTTATTTATTTTTGGTCTTTTTGAGACAGGGTCTCCCTGTAGCCCCAGCTGTCCTGGAACTCACTATGTAGACCAGGCTGAACTTGAACTCACAGAGATCCACCTGCCTCTGCCTCCCGAGTGCTGGGATTAAAGGTGTGCACCACCAGGCCCGGCTTAACATTTATTTTTATCTTATGTGTATGAGTGTTTTGCCTGCTTGTATGTAAGTGTACCACATGCATGCAATGCCTGTAGAAGTCAGAAGAGGGCATTAGATCCTCTGGAACTGGAGTTACAGTTGTTAGTTGCTACCTGGATGCTGGGAACCAAACCTGGGTCCTCTGCAAGAGCAGCCAGTGCTTTTAACTGCTGAGTCATCTCTCCAGCCCTGGATTAGTTACTCTTTTGTCACTGTGACCTAAATACCTGGCAGAAACAACTCAAAGGAGGAGAAATAGTTGAGGCATGCCAGGTCCGTCACAGTGGGGAAGGCATAGTTGAGCAGCTTTCTCTGTGGTGGAAGGAACACATGCCAGGGGATGTTCACAGGGCTGCAGCCTAGGAGCAGAGTGTGATCAGAGCCAGGAGCAACTTCAAAGCCATGGCTCTAGTGACCTTCATCCTCCAGACAGGCTCTACCTCTTAAAGGTTCCAATCTCCCAAAATAGTACCACCAGCTGGAGACCAAGTGTTCAAACATGAACCTGCAGGGAACATTCTAGATCTAAAGCATCACAGTTACACAATGGAACTGCACACAGCACTGGAAGTGGATGAAGTATGCATATCTTCATAACAGTGAGAGAAATGGACGTATGGAAACATACACTGAGGGTTGTTTCTGTAAAGTGGGCCAAGCGATGTTCTACACAGTTTTGAGACACAAAGAGGAAGATGATATCTTAGTTTCTTTTCCTGCTGCTGTTGTAAAATACTCTGACAAAAACAACTTATGGGAGAAAGGTTTATTTTGGCTCACAATTCAAGGCACAGCCCACGGTGGCAGGGAAGTAAGACAGCAGGAGCTTGAGGCAGCTGATCACATGACAACACCCACAGTCAGAAGGGAGCATACATGCATGCTCAGCTCACTCTCTCCACTTCTACAGTTCAGGTCCCTCCCACAATTAAGATGGGTCTTCCCACATCAATTGACATAAGAAAGTCCCCACAGGCATGCTCAGAGGCACCTCTCTAAGGTGATTCTAGATTTTGTCAAGTTGGTAATGAACACTATGGATCACAGATGATGAAATACCTGATAAGAATAAGCTCCGTGCTTTGTCTCTGTGGTCCTCCTTGCAAAGAGAGACCAGAAAGGAGGCACTTATAGTTCTCTCACCACTGAGGGCTCATGCACACCCGCTATGGGCCCAGCAGCAGCACCCCGAGGTTACACGTGCTGTGCATACACAGGATTCCCACTGTGTTCTCAAAAGGAGGGTGATGTCACGCAGGTGGCAGTATCAATATGAATGCATCTCAATCATTGCATGATCTCTTCTCAGTTCCATAGTGTGAGAAAACAGAATTCTTAGCCTAGCAGTGAAAAGGACAGGCTTAAATTAGAGAACCAATTTTTTGCCAGCAAGACGGAAGCTGGAGCAGAGACAGTGATGAGGTAAGGAAACCTGACAGTCAAGAGGGCAGATTTGAGACTGGGCTCTGGTGGTTGATGGGAGAGAAAGAGGTGGAGATGAAACTCGGTGCCTCTGGAGACCAGCTGCAGGGAGCATTAACAAGGGCACAGTCATGAAAAACACTGACTGGTTCAGATGAACAAACATGTAGCCAACTTAGGAAACATCACCCTTAGCCAAGGAGAGGTGAGTGGGCATAGAGCTGAGTCCCTGCTAGTGTGTACAAGATGACTGTGTCTTGGATGACTATGCCCCTGACAGATGTTTGGAAGCCTGGGCTCCAGCATGTGCCAGGGCTGGGAATGGAGCCACCTATATACCTCCAAGAAGCTTCTCTGGGGAGAATAAAGCAGACAGGTGGCTTGGGGAGCTACCACTCCCAAGAGGCAGCAGCCCAGAGAGGGGTTTGGGGAAACCTAGATTCTCAGAGGGCTGTTGGCACAAGAAAGAAAGCAGGAGGAGCCTGAGAGTGAATGAGCCAGAACTAAGAAGTCCTGGGAGCTGGGTAGGGGCAGATCTGTTCTTCCTAGAGCCTGCCTGGATGGCAGTATCTACAAGGGGCCTGAGGAAGCTTATTAATCACTGCATCAGGGAGGTGAGGATCAGTTCAAGGTCATGGTGCCTGGGAGATGACTCAGCAGGTGAAGGAGAATGTTGCCAGTCCTGACGACCTGAGTTGGATCCCTGGAAAGCACATGGTAAAAGCAGAGAACCAACTACCCAGAGCTGTCCTCTGACCTCCACATGCTTGCTAAGACATGAGCATGTGAACACCATAGATACTCTAAATGTAAAACAAATAAAAAAGAAGTTCAAGATCATCTTTAGTTGTATAGCAAGCTTGTGACCAGCCTGGGCTACATAAAACCTTGTCTCAAAAGAGGGGAGTGGTGTGGCACTGAGGTCAGCTGGGACAGGAAATTCATCGTTGGAACATCTTTCCTGTTCATTGCCTGGTTCAAGGTTAATCACCAGGCACTAGGCCTGAGTACTCAGGATTAGAGAGGACAGAGTGGGAGGCCATCCTCTGCCTATCAACTTCCCTGGTGTCCCCTGCCTCCCCAGTGAGGGTTTGTTCTAACCCTACATAAATGGAGGTTTAGTTTGAGTTCACTTGTGAACCACTGATAAATTTTTCATTATTGTGAAGCTTAACTGGCTTCTGTGATCAGCCAGGTGAGCAGGCATGCTCTGGTCCCTTGGAGGACCCTTGGAGGGTTTGTACTCTGGGATGGCTGTCTCTTAATCCCTACCCAGTCAATTTCCTAAAGAAAAGGAGTGCTGGAAGTTTTATGTTCACTCATGGAGCGGTTGTAGCTTGGAAATCCTTGGAGTCCTTGTGAGCAGCAGGTTCAGTGTTCTCACTTTATAGTCTGAGCCCCAGAAAAGTGAAATGATTTCCTGGGATCACTGTTTGACACATTTTTCTGTAGGGGAAGCTTATGTTGAAGAGTTCACCTTTACTGAAAAACTGCAACCCCAACAATGCTGACTATAGAATGTTCGTATTTCCTTCGATGAGGTGAGGGCAGGTGAGGTTAATTTGATGGTAGAAAGGCTCAGAGAGGAACTGTACACACACGGGGGGTTTCTGCCTTCAAACAGGAAAGCATGCCTATATCTACTGCAGAGAGAATTACTAGATATTTGTACCCAGAGAGCAAAACTTCCCAAACTGACATCATGTCAAGTTGGGAGGTCAGCAGGCCTGGAACCTGCCACAGGGGCCATGGACAGCTCCAGCACGCCACATGTTCTTATTCATGCAATTTATACATTCATCACTTTCCAAATGACAGCTTATGTCACTGAAGTTTGTACTGTACACTGCCATGAATATGTCATAGAAACTGAAACATAGGATTTACTGTGCAATTAAACAACATAAAACCACATGTTTTTCACTGAGTGGGGAGGCTGGCTGTGGAATCTGGAAAAGCCGTGCCATTGTAGCAGAGGGACATGATTAATTGTTCCTTCCTAGGAAAGTTTATGTCCTCTTCTCCAGTGTCAGTTGTTGACTGTTTGTGGAGTGAGGCACGTGCCCTGTGATAAGAGGGTGAGCATTACTGAACTGTGGCCTGTGATGACTATTAAGAAGTGAACGTGCTGTATTGGCTCCTGCATCCCAGATGTGATTGTAGAGGAGATGGATTGTTACTTCTACCTCAGCTCTTGGGGCAAGAGGACAAAGAAAAGACTGTCAAGGACAGAGGAGGGCTCCAGTGGGCTGTCTGAAAGGTGAATTTAAACATGAGAAATGGAAATAGAGCTGAGCAGAGCGCTGAAGAACTCTAAAGAAAAACTCTGCTACCTACTTTCCATGAACTTGACAAAATGCTAGCTGACCCCTGTGGGTCTCAGTATACTTGTGGAAAAAGCTGGATGACTCCATTCAGAATCACGTGGTAAGAATCAAACTCTAATGCATAAAACAATGAGATCAATAGACTATGAGTTTTATTGCAAAATGCCCCCAAATTGAATTTCAGGTCCTTGTAGACTTTGTGTGATTAAGAGAACATATTCAGGGTCGAGGATGCTGCTCAGTAGGTAAAGTGTTTGTCTAGCCTGCACAAAGCCCAGGGTTTGATCCCTAGCACTACATAAACAGGGCGTGGTGCCACATGCCTATAATCCCAGCATTTAGGAGGTGGAGCCAGCTGGATCAGAAGTTCAAAATCAATGGCTGCATGAAAACACAATAGAACAAAACAATAGCATTACTTTTATTCAGAATTTTGTTTTTCCTGTTCCTTCCTTGGCATTTTTCTGGGCTGAACCTGTTATTTTAATCTTAAGGAAGTTAATACTGTGTTTCTGAAAATTAGTAAGCTTTTGCACAAAAAAGATTAAATTTACATTCTGTCCCAACATTCTGTTGGTGATTTTCCTGAGTGCTTGATTCCCCCTGGTCATAACTGAAAGGTCTCAGGTTTGGAGTTCCAGGGGAACACTGAGGTGGATTGTCGTTTTGGGTAAGAGATTTATCAGAGGTGCTATTAGCCCCATAGAGAGACTGGCAGACAGCAGCATGGTAAGGGCTGTGAGAGTTCAGGCCTGTCGCAGTCCTTTCTTATAAACTTGAGGAAAGGGACTGGGTCTATGCCATATGATTGCTTGCAGGTCCACTACTACTAGCTTTGCTGTCAGGCCTGCAGTGAGGCGGCGGGAAGTCAGTTAGCCTGCAGAATCAACTTCCAGGGTAGAGAGCACAGGAATCTAGAAAAACAAGTTAATGGGGAGCTTTACAAAGTGGCCTCGCCCTGGCTAGCAGTGATGGGTGTGGGTGGGCAGACTAGGAGATTCTGCTTTTCTGCTTCCAAAGGAGGGCCGCGGTGCACTGGGAGTTCTTGTCAGTTATGTACTCACTTGGCAGCCATCTGGTGTGATTCCACATAGATATCTCCAGAGCCACAGGGTCTACTCACTGGGGACAATGTTCATTCTTACTTCCCACCTTCTCCTCCCCTGCAGTGTTTGGAGACACTTCCATCCTGATCTAGCCTCATTCTTCGTGTGTTACCCTGCCATTCCTCCTTCAAACCTCATTTGCTTCCTTCCTTTAGTGATACTGGAAAAGCATCATTACTGACACCAAGTGCACTGGATAGTTTTTGAAACCTCGCTTTTTGTCAGACCCTAAATTCACCCAACCCTGACTAGCTAGTGCTCTTACTATTCCCTCACATGGTACTGTAACCACCTTGGGCCATACAGTGTTTCTGGGGGAAAAGCCACAAATCTGAAATACTGTGAATTCTTAAATGTAGCACTTGTTTTATCAACTTGTTACAAAGCTGTCTTAACTCCACTCTTATTGTTATTCCATCTCTCCTTCCTTACTAGAAAGTCTTCCAGTGTAGCCCAGGCTGGCCTCAAACTCAGCTTCCCAAGTGCTGGGATTATGGGTATGTACCATCACACCTGACTCAGGCCTTAATCTCTTGATCCTTCTGATCTTAGCCTCATAAAAGCTGGGACAGGCCAATCTGAACTTCTCAGTGAGCCCAAGCAGTTGAGGCAGGAGGATCACGCATTCAAGGGTACCCTGAGCGTTGAGCTTTGAAGTTGTCCTCGGCTGCCTAGCAAAACCGTCTCATAAAAATGAAAACAGGGCCTGGGGGATGGCTCAGTGAGTAAAATGGCTTGCCATGCAAGCCTGACAACCTGAGTTTAATCCCTGGAGGCCAAGTAAAGAGCCAGATGTGGTGGCCACATGCTACCCCAGTAAGATGGCTAAGATGCAAAGGCCAGACATTGGCTGCTGGCAGAAATGTAAGGCACGTAAAAGGTTTAAATAGTTGGCCATTCCTACAGTTGCTGGCTGAGGAAGCAGCAGAGTCATTTTTCTTTGGTTGTTATGGCCATTTGCTGGTGGGTTGGTCATTCTCCAGTGGATGGTCCCACACCCACACTCATATAGGCAGCACTAATCAGACTTGGTGGATTATCATACAAAAAAAATAGACACAAAGATGGGAACTGTATGTGGGGTGATGGGAGGGGAGAGGGGGTAGACAGTGATCATGATAAATTGTACACTGTAAAAAATTTTATGTGTATTATTGTCTGCATGTATGTAGGTGCACTTGTGTTGTGCAATTCTCTCAGAGGTCAGAAGAGGGCGTCGGATCCCCTGGAACTGGAGTTTTGGATGGTTAAGTCACCATGTGGGTGCTAGGAACCAAACCTGGGTCCTTGGCAAGAGCAGTAGTGCTCTTAACCACTGCGCCATCTCTCCAGTCCCACACTGTATACTTTTTGTTGCAAATGTGATCAGTTTTTGTAATGGCAATTGGCAAACAGGAGGCTTTTTTTGTTTTTTAAATAAGATACATTGTATACAGATATGAAATTGTCAAAAGAATAAAAAAATTATCAAAAAGTTAGCCATTCCCTTCCTAGAACCCATGAGAAATGAAAACAGGCACCTAGGCAAAAACTTAGTGGATGCTTACGGCAACTTATCAATGACCAGGGCCAGAGGGGAGACACTTGTCCTTACAAATGTTCACACAGGTGCCTGGCTATCTTCACCTTAGTCCAGGTCCTGTATATGATAGTCAAAACAATTTGGGATGGGTGTGGCAACACACATTTTTAAATGCCAGCACTCAGGAGACAGAGGCAGGTGAATCTTTGAGTTCCAGGACAGACTAGTCTACATAGCAAGTTCCAGGCCAGCCAGGGCTACAAACTGAGCCCGTCTCAAAAACAAACATTCCCCCTCAAACAACAAAAAAAACCAACAAAAACAGAGTAAGGCAGGTAGAGTTAGGAACAAAAGGACAGAGGCCCTCAGCTACCTGGATCAGTTTTAGTTTTCTTGTTGGTTGACAGGCAAGAATATTGACACAGCTGACAAATTTCTGGAGAAGCTGCCTGCAAAGATTACACTTCCTGTTCTGCAATAGCTCAAACAAGTTTTAAAATGGTGATCAAGCAGGTTTAAGGCCAAAATCCCTGTGGCCTCTGGTTTTAACCCGATCAGCACTCCTTCACATTTTATTAAAAAAATACTATTTATGTTTGTATATGTATGTGCACATTATCAGAATAGGGTGTATATGTGCACCTAGAGGCCAGAATAGGATGTCAGCTTCCCTGGAGCTGGAGTTACAGGCAATTGTGAGCTGCCTGATGTGGGTACTGGGAACTAAATTCAGGTCCTTTGCAAGAGCGATATGTGATCTTAACTGCTGAGCCATCTCTCTAGTTGCTGTCCAAATTTTTTTTATGGTTTTCATCCAACTTGTTTTCTTAGCCTGTGTCCTACTTTAGCTCCTGTGACTATGGAAATGAACTTTTTCTAAACTAAGGATATTCCTGCTGAAGCAACAAATAACAGCATAGAGTGACAGTGACTGGATCTCCCTAAAACTCAGGTGGCCTTTGGCAATCTTTCTCACCTAGTTCTTCACCTGTTGAATTATACCTCATAAGACTGATAGCTGGAAGGACTAGAGGTGTTTTCTGTAAAGGACTAAAGGTTTACTCAAAACCAAGTACTAATAAATCATTTGCTATTCACTGGCTGGCAGACTTGGAAATAACCCGGTTTCCTGTTACCATGAGCTTCTGCACACTGTGATGGTACACTCCTGTAATCCATGTCTGCAATGTCAAGCACTCATGAGGCTGAGGCAGTAGCATGAGTTGGAGGTCAGCTTGGACTACTACTGAGACCCTGAAACAACAAATACTATTTAAAAAAAATGTATTTTCCGTGTGGACCTGCATACTATGATGTGCCTATGGAGGTTAGAGGACAACTTTGTCACTGGGCTTGTGCAAGGGCTTTTAAACTTGGTGACTTTTTAAATTTATCTGTTTGAGATTACTCAGGAACTGGGTAACTATATGAACATACATGCACAGACACAATACACTTGGCACCTACAACTCAGTTTTTCTCCCTTAACCAGGTCTCTACATGGAAAGCCATTTCTTAATTATCCTTGTTGTTAAAATGGAACTATTTCCTAAGACTCAGTTAAAGCAGCTCCTCTTTTTCAGTTGCAATCCATCTTACAGTTCTCAAAATCAACTCTGGCAGAGTTTATAAATTATTGTGCATGGGTATCACAGTACACACGTGGAGGTAATAGGACGACTCCGTGGAGTCAGTTCTCTCCTTCCACCTTTAGATGGGCTCCAAGTATTGAATTCAGGTTGCCAAGGCTTGAGCAGCAAGTGCCTTTATCTCACGATTTAGATCAAAGGCCCAAGATTTTAAAAACTCCTAACATCTGATCTAGTTTGTCTTGTCTCATCACGGAGGTTCTAAGATTACAGCTTGTAGTCTATTTTACTTTTTGTATATCCCATGAATCTAGCATGTAGTTGCTAACCATGATTTATCACTTTGAATTAGTTTCACTGAGAATTTTGAGGTTAGAATACTGGAGCAAATTATCCCCCCCGCCCCCCAGACTCACTCAGGCTGGTCTGAAACTCACCACGTGGCCCAGGCTGACCTTGAATTTACAGTGATCCTTTCTCAGCCGTCGAAGTGTTGGGATTAAAGGCAAGCCACCACACTCAGCTAGGTACATTACTCTTAATCTGGCTTCAGGCTGCACTGCTCTTAAGAGCGCGTACACTGGCAGGAGTTAACACGAGAACCAAGATCGACAACCTGGTAAACTTTAAGGTGCTAAAATAAAACTTATGAGAGGAGCATCAACTTCTGCCTATCTCCGGTGGTCCATGGGCATCACAGTGGGTAAATTTCCTTCCCTGGCCTTTGATTCCTAAAAGGAAGGCCTGGCAGGGATGTTTCAAAAGGCGTCCTGTGCTGAGACATGTGCTCGTGCACTTTCCCTGCCTGGGATCAAGAGGCGAACGTCAACACCAGATAATTTAGGTTAGCCACAGGCAACCAAACCCTTGGACCCTGTGGGCTCCTTTTCCCCCCAGGTGCTACAGCTTCCACCATACGAGGTCTGGGACAGGAAGGGACTCTGGGGCTGCCTGACCTCCCAGGCCTTGACATACACAGTCGGTCCCGCGGGCAGGCCTCCGAGGCCCGGGTACACACATCAGCCGCCCCGCCAACAGGCCTCCGAGATCCACGGACAACGAAGCCAGGTGACGCCGCCGCCCGCCGGGCCGCGCATGCGCACCGCGGCGCCCCCGCCCCCACCACCCGCTC